TTTCCCCATCAGTACAGGTAGGGTTTATACCGAGCTAGCAATAGAAGGGGAACCGTTACCTTCCAGCAGGGCTCCCGAGCCAACCCTAGAAGCATTTGTTACCACTGACACTCTATTGTGACAGTGACTGACACCCACTGCACAGCAAAATAACGGCATTCCTATTATATCAATGGAATGTAAACTTATCGTTCAACATGGCGTTTTTTGGCTGAGACACTGCAATGTTCTGTGCCACAGCCTTGTGCACTCTGCAGGTTCCAGGGATTTAAGTGGAAGTTGTTTCCATGGAAGTGTGCGCACAGTCCTTTTTTCTATCCAAAATCCATGTAAAAAAAGAAGAGCATAAGGAACCATTAAAAAGAGAATTACAGCAGCCATGCCCTGAAATTCCAACATGAAATTTAACTGGCAGTTTCTTAATACTAACTCAGATGATAGTTCTAGTAACTCTTCCACATTTTTTTGCTGTTTCTCTCTTCAAAGTTGCCTTGATTTGTACAGCATAGTTGTATGGCAGACTCACTCCTATGAGCTCCATATAGTTTTGTTGTGGATATTGGAATGGGAGAATCTCTCATATGAAGTAGTCTCAGAAATCACATGAACTTCTCACTTTAATGACTGAAGCGTGAGTCCATGCAATTTACAAGGTTCAGGGGGTGGCACTCAGCAGATGAGATACAATGTCCTTCATTATGCAGATATACTGCAATACTAAGAAAATCAAGAAGTATTCCAACTTCACAGGCAACATAAATGGATTGTGATCTTGAACTGTGATCTTCAGAAATTTCAGTTCACCTCCAGGGTGAACAGCAAGGAGCTTTTTTAACACTAGCAATAGAAAATGGGACTTGGAGGTACTGCTGGAGGACAGAGCATAAATTTGGGCTTGGACACTATTATAGCTATCCACAGCTTTTGGGCTGATCAAGGGAATCCGCCTACTAAAATTACAGGGAGGTGCTTCTCTGACCTCTGCTCTACTCACAAGACACCACGTATGAGTGCAGACCCAATTTTTTTTCAGCAGTCGTAGCTGCAATTTTATCAGTCTCACATTATTCATCTGCAAATAAACTGTGTTCACTGAGCAAACAACAGCCAAGGCTTCTGTGTCTCAGGGCTTCAAAAGTTTGTTAAAGGTTGGTGGTGAAGTAAGAGTCCAAAGACAATAGTCACTTGAGGCAGTACAGCTCTATCAAGTCACATTTTTCTGCCAGCAGTGATGTCTAACACAGGTAGATTGTATTACCTGACTGGGAAGTTTGCGCAGCAGAGATCAGTTAGACTTACTGAAATTATTTCACCCACCTTTTGAGAAAAACTTAATACCATTTCATCAACTGCATAATGCAGCTGGGCTGCCTAAGGAGTTTACATCCTGTCATAGAGAACAGTGTGAGTCCTGAAACAGTCAGGTTATTACAATGAATGGTAGTCACCATGAAGCCAACAAAAACATCACAAAGCCACATTGACTATTTAGGACCATAAGCCTTTATGGAATGAAGTTCCTTTGGTTTTCTGGAAAGAATCAGCACTAGGTATAAAAGAATTCTTATTATCTGAAGTGGCATCTTCAGAAAGCATCCTGGAACAATGCAAACCAGTCACTAAAATACTGTTGCTTAGCCCAGTGAGTGACAACTAGAATAGACCCATTGAATAACTGGGGGTTAGTGAGTCAATTCTTCCATAAGTTCTATTAATTCAATGGGCCCACTCTAATCGCAACTTATTTAGCACCGTAAGCAAATCCCCAGATTCAGTGGGTCTTTTGCAACTTACTGTACTAAGCAACAGAATTTTGGCCAGTACAACTTATGTCTCTGATCATCAAGGAATGGGAAAGATGACTCTTTCAAAAAATTATGGCATATCACCATCAATGACTGTAGGGGCTCTTTTCTGTATGTTTATAAGCGAGTCACAGGGTACCTAGTGTGGTGTAATGGATAGCATTACGGACTAGGATTCTGGAGATTAGGGTTTAAATCCACACTGGCCATGGAAGCTCAACGAGGGAGTGGAACTGATAAAAGAACTCCTTAGATATCTCAATTATCTTGAAAGCCTATTAGGATCACCATAAGTAAGTTCTGACTTGACAGCACATAGCTAACTAAAGGAGACATGAAACTACAGGTTTGGATGCCACAATCAGAGATTCCCCTCCTCTTAATAACAACAATGTATAGTGCTATGAAAAGGGGCAGAACTTTTGTGCCACTAAAGTTATTAGAGCTTCAGAACTTCCCCATGGCTGGATGCCTATGCAGAATTCTACAGGCTGTTTTGCCTTTGATAAATACACGGAAGAGGAGAATTTTGGCAGATACAGCTTCTCAACCCTCTGATGTGGGGATAGTCACCTCTCAACAAACTCTTTTAAGTGCATTTATGAAGTCCAGGAACCCTGCCCCTTGGTGGGCAAAAGGGCTTTTATGGCAAAATATATACTGTATAAGTGTGTTCCTATTGTTCAACAAGGAAAGAAAAAAGTGAAAAATTGATTGTGAATGGGTTCAGTTTCAAATTTTGGCAACTCCTCATTTTGTGTGGGAAATACCACAGGAGATGTCCTCTTAACCTTAACAACTTCATCTTTATTAATAACAGGGAGATCAACGTTGTTCATAATGGGGTCAAAGAAACTCAACTCTGGCAACAAGCCGTAACTGTCCATCACATAATCTAGTCTTCCATCAGCTGAACTTAGAGGGCTGCTGGGCCAAATCTCTCGGCATCTGTTGGCTTCCGCAGAAGCGTGCTCCGTACTGCGCAAATGGTGCCACAGCATGGATGCCTTGCCCAGTCACCTTCCAACGGAGGAGTGTTATACCGCGTGTCTGGTCTTATTACCTGTCGTCCGCATCCTTTATTCTTGGGGAAAGACCACTACAGACCATTTGAGGGGTTCGTATTTCATCTCCCCACTCTCCTTGGGCACGGGGTCTGGAAGCAGCCCTCCCAATGTTAGGTTAGGGAAGTCACTCAGTAGCTCCTCAGTCTTCACTCTCTCATACTCCCTCAGCCTCTCCAACTCCCTCTTCCTTTTCCACAGCTCTAATTCCACAGCTCTGTTCCCCTTGGCTTCTTATACTTTCCTCTCAAAAGGACAACTCTTGCTCCACCCCTTTCGCACCTTCACGTTCCTCCACTAAGCTGACTTTAAACTTCCCGCCTTTTTCTCTTTTCACTTCTATAGTTGCATTCTCTCTCTGGTCCTCTTGTTCCTGCTCTCTCTCTCTCTGCTTTCACCCCTCCCTCCTTTCCTTTATCTTCTGGGGACGGCACACTCTCCTCTATGACTCCTTCACATTGATGCTTAGAAATAACCAACAGGAAGGGAACTGCATAATCTACTCTAAATTTTATTACAACAGTGTGTAGAAATATTATTCCTATTCCTATTCCTATTTCTGTCATCATCATAAGCAATGTCACAGATCCCCATAATCTGAAATGTGTGTTGTGGGCTTTAAACATAGTCTGTTGTACATCAGTGTTTAGAAATGCTGCATCTGAAGTCAGATGAGCCATGGAGACATCCAGCCTCTGGTAGAGCAGAACATGAAGCAGAAGTACAGTAAAAAAGAAATCGAGCATCCATTGAGTAATATCAGTAATAATACCTGGACAATGTTTAGGGCTGGGCATTATGTAAGGCACACATAAACACAGAGCTGCCAAGCAAACTCCCAAGACGCTCCCAAGGCAAATCTCACTTTCTCCAGGAAATCATTAGATGGCTCTTAAGCAAATCACTCTTCCTCAAGTTTCAGGCCCTCACCTGTAAAACTGGGGTAATACTGAATTTAGGATGTAAATGACAACTAACTGATGTAATCCTAAATAGCCAAGCGGGATGTTGCCAGCTGAATCCAAGCTCCTCCCAGCCTTATGATGGTGGAAACTATTTAGGACTGCCCTCCGTTTGGACTAGCTTTGTGCTGTATCCATAGACTGGAGGAGGTTTGGATCAAGTGTCACTCAGGTTCTCTCTCACTCCATCTTCCTCACCCAGCTACTCCACCCCTTCATTGGTTCTTCTGCTAGCTGATCTTTACTAGCACATGCTGCTGGTGGTGGATCTTCGAGATCAACTGGCACATCCTTCATCTGCCTATTCAAAAGCCCCTACAAGGTGGCACATTTAGTTGCAGAACTGCACAGCTACACTATAGGGCCCCTGCAAGGGATACAAAGTAGTATCCACAAAGCTCTCCAAACACAGGTGTTGCATAACTGCTAACAAGTATCAACAGAGCAAAGATCCCTCTATTGGCAGTATTCGGGGGAGAGAGAATCTTGAAAGCCTTTGACTTTTTAGGGGTTCTGTCTGCGGAACGGAGGGGGAGCAAGGTAATTACCAGAAGTAAAAAAAAATACTCCCAGATTACCTCACACCAGACAAATGTATCATAAACATCCCCTTGAAAGTTTAAAGGCGCAGCTAGAAGGCAGAATCCCTCTAAATTGAAGGCTTGCAGAACAACACTCTCCACAAGAGTGGAGCTTCAAACAGCCAGAGGTATTTCCGCGTGGAAGGGCTGCTAGAGCGTGAGAGGGTTTCCCCAACTTCACTTCCTATCAGACAACACAGACTGAAAACCTTAGCAGAAAGGGGAGGGGAAAAAAAGGCGGGCTTCTCTTTCTCCACCTATCCCCTCCTGAAAAAGAGCCTGGAGTNGAAAAAGAGCCTGGAGTTTTTGGTACTGCTGACCAAGACGGCTCGGCTTAAGGATAACGAGACCTTGCGGCGGGGGGGGGTCGCTTTAATTTTGTTTTGAGACCTCAGGAGCCCCGTGTGAATTCTTGTGCAGAGAAGCCAGAGACTGCTGCCGCCCGAAGTTGAGGTAAAAATGCACTCTCGCGTTCCCCCTTCTCCCCCCCCCGGGAGAGGGGAAGAGCAACGTCGCTCTTCTGGTTAGAAAGGGGGCCAACAACTATTTGGGGGGGGGGAAGTGAGTGCGTGGGGAGAAGGCACTTACTTGAGTTCCATTTACCACGAGCCCTGCCATCTCTGCAGTGTCCTCCCCAGTGAGGGAACTGTGAGGGAGCTTTGGGCCTTCCCGGTTTACAACAATCCCTTGGGGCGGGGATGTGGACGAGGAGCGATAAGGTTGAGGGGCTTGGCGCGTCACTCCCCCACCGAAATGCTTTCGAGGCTCCGGGTTTGCAACTACAAGCCCTGAAGGAGCTCACTTCCTCGCAGCAGTCAGCTGATTCCCAAGGCGGAAGAGCCGGTTTTGCAATGCTTGCCCCTCGCTGCCTTTTAGACGCTCAGCTCACTCGCAGGCTGAGCGCGTGCCTCCTCGGGATGTGCCTGGCGAGCCGCGCCGTGGGAAGGGAGCCCTAACTTTCCCGCCTCTTTCCTGAGAGAAGCCCTTCGCCGTGGCCCACTTTGCTTGTGGAGACTCTCATTAGCATAAAAAGTCTGTAAGTCAAGCCGTCTGTAAGTCAAGGGTCCACTGTATGAGTAGTCCACATGTCTGAAGAAATGGATATTGACCCACAAAATGCCACACTGAAACAAATTTGTTATTGGGTTCAGTGCCACAATATTTCGTTTTTCTCTCTTCCCCTCCCCGCCCCCTTTTAATTTTGCCAACAAATTAGAAGGACTGAGACTGCTGCTTCTTGGAAACAAAGCTCTAAAATGCCTTGGGTAAAGCTTTTGTGAGATTTCAAGGAGACTACCAGTTGTGTGGTTCACCCGTGCCTTACTTTCAAAGGGAAATACATGAGGTTGTTATCCTCCTTATTGTTGTTGACCTATTGCTGAAAACTGACAGCACAGTGACAAAGTTTGCCATGATAAAGGGGGTATGTTGCCACTGGAAACAGAGGGACCCAAAATAGGGAGTAACATCATATCAGGGAGAGCCAGAAAATAAGAATCCTTCTGTATTAGACCAGTGGATCTTAACCTTCGGTTACTCAGGTGTTTTTGAACTGCAACTCCCAGCTGGTGGTGAAAGCTTCTGGGAGTTGCAGTCCAAAAACACCTGAATAACCCAAGGTTAAGAACCACTGTATTAGACCACAGGTCCATTAATCCAGAATCCTGCTCCCTGCAATAGCTTAGCTGCCTGTGAGAAATCCACAAGCGGAGCATAGAAAGCAATGACTCTCTCCTGTTGGTGCTCCCAGCTGCTGCTATTCAAGGGTTTCCTGCTTCTGAAACTGGAGATTGCAGGCAGCCTTCAAGTGACTTGTGCTTGATGTATGTGTCTAGTCTCCTTTCAAAATTATCTGTGCTATTGGCTGTCTTCACACCTTTTGCCAATGTATTATATAAGCTAATTATCAATCAATTTAATTACATATTGTGTGAAGAATGGCCTCTTTTTTGCCTGGTTCTGTTTGTCCTACTGATCAGTTATACAGGATAAATCTCTGACACGGGTGCTGCAGGAGAGGGAGAATAACCTGTCTCTGTCCGCTTTGGCCACACCATGCACAATTTAATCAGCTTCCACCATGTCTCACTTCCCATATTTCTAGGATCAAACCAGCACAGTGGCTTTCTTCATAGCAGGGCTTCACCCTTGTGATTGCTCAGTTTCATTTCTTCTGCCTGTTGCAATCTGCAGAAATGTCCTACCATCAGAGGCAAAAACAAAATGGTTCCTGGCAAAGCCTAAACCACAAGCAATTATCAACTGACTCAGGGACTAAGGGTTGGTGTTTTTTTTTTTAATGTTCTTGTTGCTAGAACAGGAAGTTGTTATCTCTGGTTGAGACCCTTTCAGTGTCGTTTATCTTATGTAACTGAAATATCTCACCAGCCTCAACTTGGCACAGGCCATGCAGGGGAAGGAGCTAATTCACTTGCAGGTACTGTTAAAATGTGATCAACATTTTTGCTGTGTAACCTCAAAAGGACCTAAAAGATTCCCAACTTTGAGGAGTAAGCATTTATTCTGATAAACTATGATCCACAGCATAGTTCTGAATTTTATAGTATTAACAGGGAGCAGTTTTGACTCCCAGCCAAAAAAACTCCACAACTGCATCCAAAACCCCCTAAGTATCTAATCTTCTTCTCTTAGCTGCACATGTCAATATGGTGAGAGGTTTGAGTGTGTCATGAAAGCTGAGGTCAATATTGTCATGAAGCTAGAGTGTGCTATGACTCTAGACTTCTAGCAGGGTTACATAAGGAGGAGCAGTTACAGCTGCGGCACCAGATAAAGATACATCCATTCTCTTCAGGTATTAACAGTAGCGTCAGCAGAAGACAATTTAGTTCTAGCGGTGATGGAAGTAGAGAAATTATTGAAGAGCAGCTCTGAGCAGGAACAGTAGCGGAAAGTGACACAGGTGGATGCTGTCTCATGAACAACAGCAGCGACACTTGAGCTGACTCTTGTTAGTACAGTGCAGAAGAAAGCAATGGGAAACCAATTTAAATACTTATACCTCAAAAACAGTGTGATAGGACAATCCGAAATGAGGTGAGAGATAGTACTGGAAGAAGAGACTCGCAGTTTGGAAGGCAGTTGATCAATTACTGGAGAAGACTTTTATCAGCAGGAAGGACAAGGGTCCAGCAGACATGTGGTAGCTTTCACCTCTACAAGGGTTCTGTCCACATTATCAGGCTGCATTAACACAGGACAACCAGGGGCCATAGTTACATTCACAGGACCCATACTAACTACAGCATCCAAGGCAGTGCTGATTTGAGCAATTTCCGAGCAAACTGTCTGAACTAGATGAACTAATATGAAATATTATAAACTGGATTAACTCAAGATTGCTAACGGGGTCTGTCTTTCGGGAAACATAAAACTCCCCTGTTACAGCAGCTTCACTGGCTGCTGATCCATTTCCAGGCACAATTCAAAGTGTTGAACTTATAAAACTCCAAATGGCTTGGGTTCAAGCTATCTAAAACAGTGGTCCCCAGCCTTGGGCCTCCAGATGTTCTTGGACTACACATCCCAGAAGCCTTCACCACCACCTCTGCTGGCCAGGATTTTGGGGAGTTGAAGTCCAAGAACATCTGGAGGCCAAAGGTTGGGGACCTCTGACTAAAAGACCACATCTCCCTCTATGAGCCTGCCCAAGCTTTTAGATCACCAGGGAGTCTTTTCTCATGATCTCACCATCATCACAGGTGCATGTGGTGGAGACTTCTCTGTTGCTTCTCCCAGACTCTGGAACTCCCTCCCATGAGAAGCTAGGCTGGCCCCATCTTTGCTGTCCTTCCACAAACAGGCAAAGACCCTTCTCTTCAGGTAGGCTTTTCCTTAGTGATGTCAGTCCTAAAGGAGTTTTCTTAAATGGATTGTTATATGTCATTTTTAAATACTGTAAATAAATGTTTGATATTCTTTTATCCTGCATTTCATTTAATGAGAGTGTGAGACATCGTTTTCAGGTTTCAGTAAGGAACAGAATTCATCAGCAAAGCTCAAATACCCCTTATAGTTTAATTTGCAGAAAAGCAATGTACTAGTTTTGAGTTATTTTTGTTCTTTTCAGATATTGCTGTGAGTAGCTGGAGCCATATGTAGAGAAACATTATACGAAGCCATGGAAGCAGGAGCAGCAGGAGCTGTTAGGCCCTGAAATAATTTTGTCCATCAAGAGTGGTCATTGGATATTCCTGGGCAGGAAGAAATATAATATGGTTTCTTCTTCCACTGTGTTCTTTGGTAACTTTTGTCCTTCCCCTTGTTTGTTCTCCAGTTCTGACTTGCTCTTCAGTATTAATGTCTAGCTTCTTAAATTTGGGCTCAGTCAGATAGCATTTGTCTTACTGTGCAGTGTGCTGTGGGGATGGGTTGTTTTGCTCTTTTTCCCAGCAATCAGATGATGTAATTGCTAGGTCCATCCCCAGAGGGTCCCTTCTCACACCTTTCTGAGCTCCTCAGGGTTGATGTAATTGCTAGGTCCATCCCCAGAGGGTCCCTTCTCAAACCTTTCGGAGCTTCTGCTCTTTTGGTGTGGGAAGGAATGCTCTGGTTTGATCCATTTCCAGTGCATGGGATCACTGGAATGAACCAAAAGTGAGCCTTCTGGCTGACATGGCTCCTTCCATTTTGAATTATGAAGTGGCTTAATAAGTGAGCTATTTCAGCATATCAACAAATTGAACACTTCCCCTGCTCCACAGAGAAAGAGGCAGGGGAAGTGATTTTTTAAACAAAAGTGAGCCTTCTGGCTGACATGGCTCTTTCCATTTTGAATTATGAAGTGAGCTACTTCAGCATATCAATAAATATGCAGAGAAAGTCAGGGGAAGTGATTTTTTAAAAACTCTGGTAGACCATCACTGGTGCACTGCATCACTTTGATAAAACATTTAAAATATATCTTCTTTGCCTTGTGAGAAACTGTTCACACATTGAGAAACTGTTCAGTGTTCAATTTGCTGATATCCTTAAGTGGCTTACTTATTAAACAACTTCATGATATCAAAAATTAACAGCAGAATGAGCTCAACCAAAATGGGGTCACCTGAGGTCCATATGCCATTTGGATGCAAGAATCTCACTAAATGGCATGTCACACCTCCACCCAACCTCAAGTGACCCTATTTAGACCACACCAGCCCACTCCAAAAGGGCCAGTGTAAATGAACCTTTTATCTTCTGGTTCTGGCGTCTGGCTTTTCCCATGGCTTTTTATTCACCTCAGACTGTTACCCTTGGCCCAACTCCAACATAGATCTGTCACATATTTCCAGTGAAAATGAAGACATTATATTCAAACTTTCATAACTGATGGATATTTTGTACTTGATGCTCAAGTTCAAAATATTTAATGAGAACAGCCATCCATACTGCCAAGATCCCTGACAATTTGTCAAAGATGGTGGTCTGTAGGAGGAAAAAGGAGGGCCTTTAACTCAAGCTGTGTTAAACTGGTGAGCAGCTTTACAGAAGAAGGTGAAATCTTCCCTGTCTTTATAGCAGCCATTCTCAATGGGAGCCACATGATCCCCTGGGGAGCCCTGGCACATTTGGTGGGGGCCGCGTACCGGAAATAATTCTTCACATACCACCTTGTAAGATTCCTTATGTGACTTCTACAATTCTGATTCAGCCTATATTTCTTTCATATTGTGCATATGGCTGTGGCCAGAAAAAGACTGAGAATGCCTTTTTATAGTATTTGCCTGGGCTAGACTAGGAGCTGCAATATCCCCTATCAACAGCAACAGCAATGAAATGTACAGCAGTGCCTTGCAAGACGATGTTAATTCGTTGAGCAAAAAAAATGCTGTCTTGTGAAAACATCGTCTTGCGAAACACGGTTCCCCATTGGAATGCATTGAAATCTATTTAATGTGTTCCAATGGAAAAATCGTCATCTTGCGAAAATCGTCCAT